CAAGCCCTCCCCATCCCCCGCCCCCCACCCGACCGCCTCCCTGTCCCCATCACGGCTTCGTGGCACCCTGTCACGCCCCGGTCACACCCTGACGCCCCTCCTCACCGCCTCGCACCCTATTGCAGACCCTGTCACCTCTGCCGCCCCTGTCACCCCGCCCTCAGTCCTTCACACCCCTCGTCAGCCCCCTCTTACACCGTCACCCCCATCATCACCTGCCACAGCCCCTGTCACAGTCCCTCGTTACCCCCTGTCACCCCACCACCTCTTGTCACCCCCAAGGCATGGAGGTGTCACCCTTGTCACCCTCCTTGGATGGAGGAAGGACTCCATGTTCCTCTGGAGGGACTTCACAGAACCACAGGCTGGCCGAGATGAGGAGGTCATCTGGCCCAACCCCCCTGCTCCAGCAGGGCCACCCAGAGCCGGCTGCCCAGGACCATGTCCAGTCAGCTTCCGAGTACCTCCAAGGATGGAGACTCCACAGCCTCCCTGGGCAGCCTGTGCCAGTGCTCGGTCACCCTCACAGTGAAAAAGTGTCTCCTGATGTTCAGAGGGAACCTCCTGGGTTTCAGTTTGTGCCCATCGCCTCTGGTCCTGGCTCCGGGCACCACCAAGAGCCTGGCTCCCTCTTCTTTGCGCTCTCCCTCCAGTCCCTCATTCATCTTCGTGGCCCTTCGCTGGGGCGTCCCCAATATGTCCCTGTCTCTCTTGTACTGAGGAGCCCAGCACTGGACACAGCACCCCAGGGGTGGCCCCACCGTTGCTGAGCAGAGGGGAAGCATCCCCTTCCTCCACCTCCTGGCAATATTTTGCCTAACGCAGCCCAGGACACCATTAGTGTTCTTTGCGGCTTATGTTCAGCTTGGTGTCCACCAAGACCCTCAGGTCCTTTTCAGCCAAGCTGCTTCCCAGCTGGGTGGGCCCCAGCGTATATTGATGCCTGGGGTTGTTCCTCCCCGGGAGCAGGACTCTGCACATCTCCTCGTTCAGGAGAACTTCAGGAGGTTCCTGTCAGCCCATTTCACAGCCTGTCCAGGTCCCTCTGGACGGCAGCACGACCCTCTGGAGTATCAGCCACTCCTCCCAGTTTGGTGTCTGCAAACCTGCTGAGGGTGCGCCCTGCCCCATCATCCAGATCATTAATGAAGATGATTGGATTGGCAATGCTTTACCGAATGCAGAGCCCAGGAGACCACTCACCTTCTTTGCAGCAAGGGCACGTTGCTGGCTCATGTTCAGCTTGGTGTCCACCAGGACCCCCGGGTGCTTTTCAGAAAAGCTGCTTCCCAACGGGACTGGAGCCAGTATTGACCCCTGGGGTACACTGCTAGTGACTGGCCTCCAACTAGACTTCGTGCCGCTAATCGCCACCCTCTGGGACAGTTTTCAACCCACCTCACGCCCTCACCTCCCGGTGCCTGGCGAGTCCCATGGGAGCTGCCAACTCCAGCCCTTCCCCAAGCCCACACCAGCTGGCTGCAGCCAGGTCTCAGCACCAGCCACCAGCCCGTGATGTGACAGGGCAGAGCTCGGGACACGGGTTGCTTGGTCTTACTCCGGCGCTGCTCCTGGCTGGCCTCCAAACATCAGCTTAGGCTGGGCTGGAAATCAGACTTGGCTCCAGGCTGTTTCATGCTGGCTGCCGAGGAGCCTTTCCGGCCATCAGGTCACAGGGCCACCACTGTCCTTCCTTTTGTGTAGGCGTGCACTTTCAAGTCAAAACCAAGGTGAGGTTGGAGCCTTCAAACTGCGTGTAGATTTTGCACTTCCTGGTATTGCTATTAATGGGAAAAGCAGCACTTGGTAAACAGAGGAGACAAGCCTCAGGCTGCTCTCCCTGGTGGAAGTACATAGATGATTTTCTTTTCCTTTGGGTGCTAGGAAAGGAAAAGGACCCACAGGGTCCTCGATTGACAGGGCTAAAGCTGGTATGAGTGCTGGGCTTTGAGGCTTTGAGGAAACCTAAGGAAAGATAAGCACGTGAAGTCAACTGTGCGCTGCAAAAGCCAGTGAGCTTTCCAGGCGCCTGAGACTGAATGACGAGAAAACCCAACAAGACTTTATCATTTTACACTTTGGGTCCTGACCGAATGCAGGCCAGGCAAGACTTTCGCAGGATCTTTGGAAAACAAGGAGGATGTGTTCAAAATGGTCGCTCTCCCAGGGCACTCGGCACTGGAGAGAAAAGGCAAGCTCGACGCCCACTCCTGCTAAACCTGTCTTAGCAAAGCGAGAGGATAATCAGCTGTCCTTGGGGAAGTCTGCCGCGACCGGAGTCCAGCTTACTGGCCTCTTCCTGCCAGGACTGCGGAGCGAAGATGAACATCATCTCCTAGGACCCGGAGGAGATGCAGAAATGCATAAGCAAAGCAGTCAGCCCTTGCATAAACTAGAATTTATGACAGCATATGCAAAGGCATTGGAGTCATAGGTTTAAAGTGGCGCCGTGATACCGGCATGTGTGTACGGCTTTTTCGCAGGGCGAGACGGCTAGAGCTGCACCGCTAACACAGCTGAGGCGTCATCTCTCCCAGTAAATTCTGCATGGGACCAGGGTAAAATCCTGTGTTAAAAGGGAGATTTGCATTCCACAGGGTGCTGCTATTTGGGCATAGGCGCTCAAACGTCGAGTTGGCTAAAATTTTTCTGAAGGATCATTTTCCCGGTGGAGTACGCCAGGTTGTCAGCAGTTTCATCACCGGTGACATCTTCCTCAGCGCTTTCCAGCGGGACACAGGCAGGCTACCGAACCGGCTTGCCAGGCTGATTTCTGGCAGGAAAGCCAGCCGGTGTGCTGCCAGCTCCTCCAGCTGACGCCTCGGCTGCCTGGCCGCGGGAACCGGGGCTGCCTGCTGGTTTCTGATGCTGCCTGGCGCTTCCCACAGCAAAAAGCCCTGTTTGCAGTTACGGGGAAGTTTGCCAAGGTTTACCTACTTTCTCTGAAACACTAGCGAGCTGGTTTTATTATTATTATTAATATTTTCAAATCTGGCCAGAAAGGTCCAGCTGCTTCCCAGAGCAAAGTCAGGGAAAATATGTTTTTGGCCATTAAAAACACCTGGAGATCTTGTCCTGAAGGTACTTCAGAGCTCTGGAGCCTGGCATTAGGCAAGGGACAAATCTTCTGGCAGAGATGTGCTGAGGCTCCTGCTGACCTCTGAAAAGCTTTGTGCAGCTGGACAGGGCTATAAACTTCTTAAAATCTGCACCCCCACGTTCCGGGAGCTGCAAAACCTGCACCACAACATTGCTGAACCCTCCGGAGATGCCATCCCTGCCCACCATCCCATCATGGCTCCTCTGGGTCACTCAGCTGCCTCTCCCCATCCTACCGGACAGTGAAATACTGGCTGTCTCAGGTTGGAGCATCACAAAACACGAACCGGTGCAGAGACCGACAGTCTGGCGTTATAATTATCTCTGCGGTCTTAATCAGCCAGCTCACACAAGCACTGCTTTTAACACAGGTTTTAATTCATGACCCCACGTTAAGCTTTTACATGGGATCCCCGTCCCACCCTGCAAGCAAAGAGGACCTCCAGGCTGTGTCACATACGTGCCATCCCCTCCTCCTCATCTCAAAACGCTTGATCTCTGCATCGAGTTCTGTATGTGATGAAGATCCTGCAATGAGGGGTGTTCATCCCTGCACCCGACGAGGCCGGGAAGCATGGTTCCTCCTGTGAATCGGATGCAGTTATGACTCAAGATGTGTTTTGAAGACGAGTTTTGACATGTTCTGGCCAGAAATAGGACCGGCATTGCCAGGGCATTGATTTTTCTCCCGTTTCTATAATTAGGCTGACTTGCATCCCTCATCCCAGAAAAGCCGTGGAGATGCATCACCGGCCACATCATCAACTTTCAGGGGAGAGGTGCACATTTAAACCCACCTGCCACCTGCTGCCGCCGTTGGTCCCGAGCATCCAGCACAGGGAAGTCAGAGCACATCAGCGTGCCACGGTCTGGATCCAGCGACGGGGACACTTAGAAACCGTGCTCCACACCCTTGTAAAATTAGGCATGCCTGTGGGGGCAGCTGCCTTCAGGCCTGGTGCTACTGTTCCCCCCGGTTTTACAGCCGGACCCTGATAAAGCAGAGCCTGTAAGAGGCAGATTGCAGCATCACAGGCAGAAAAACCCTTGCCGTGGTGCAGGCGCACCCCAAATGTGAGCTGGGGGTCAGCGTTTGCCTGTACCCCTCCGGAAGCTTCGCCGCCCAGCTGATGGGCCAGATCCCGTCTGGCATGCCTGGTGAGGAGGAGCCGAGAGGCAGCGCCTAACCAGAGGCTTCTGGGAGCGGGCACCGCAGGAGCGGGAGCGATGCGCACCCCCAGCAGACCCTCGGGGGGGGCTGCCCCTTCGACATCGCGACCCCCTGTGTCGATGCGTTTGCACCGCAGACGCCTCGCTGAGGGCTCAGGGACCCCCCCCGCGCTGCAGCCCCTTGGGCAGGGGCCAGCTGTGCCACGGGGGGCTGCCTCCCCCCATGCCCTTCCAGCAGCAGCCTTCCCCCACCCCAGAGGCCTGCAGTACCCCCCCGGGACCCCCGTGTGGGTGGGGAAGCAGGGCCTGAGCTGCGCGCGTGCGTGCACGTGTGTTCAGCTGTGTGTGCACGTGTGTGCGTGTGCATGTGTGCGTACGTAAGACCCCATGTGTGTCCCTATGTGTGTGCCTGTGTGTCTCTGTGCCCGTGTCCCCCCATGCCCCCTGTCCCTCTGTGCCCCTGTCCCCGTGCCCATGTACCGCCATGCCCCCTGTCCCCATGTGTCCCCATATCCTGTGTCCCATGTCTGCCTGTGTCCCATGTCCCCACCATGTCCCATGTCCCCCTGTGTCCCCTATGCCCCCTGTCCCCCTGTCCCCCTGTGTCCCCATGTCCCATGTCCCATGTCCCCCTGGGCCTGTGTCCTATGTCCCCGCATGTCCCATGTCCCCCTGTGTCCCCTATGCCCCCTGTCCCCATGTCCCTCTGTGTCCCCATGTCCCGTGTCCCATGTCCCCCTGGGCCTGTGTCCCCTGTCCCCCCAGCCACCCTCACCCCT